ATGGTCTGAACCAACCATCTCCACCCAACCAAACTTATCCCCCCTATTAGTGCTTCCTCATGACAGTACAGCCAAAATGGCTGATGAAAGCCCCTACAAGCTTTGCAACACGTTTAACAGAAATTATAAAGCGTGAGAAATGCTGGTTTAACGTGTTCTTAGCGCAGAGAACAATGTTTCCTCAAAGACTGAATGTGCAACCTTCTTTGCTCCTCTATTTAACATTTCAGGGGAGGCAATGGCCTCGTGGTATTATCACCAGACTGTTAATCCAGAGACCTAAACATTCTGGGGACCGGGTTCGATTCCCACCACAGCAGGTGGTGGGATTTAAATTCAATAAAATATCTGGAATTAAGCATCTAATGACGGCCATGAATCCATTGACGATTGTTGGGGAAAAACCCATCTGGTTCGCTAATGTCCTTTAGGGAAGGAAACTGCCATCCTTACCTGGTCTGGCCTACATGCGACTCCAGACTTACAGCAACGTGGTTGACTCTGAACTGCCTCTGGCAGTTAGGGATGGACAATAAATGCTGCCTGGCCAGCAATGCTCTCATCCCGTGAATGAATAGAAAAAAAAAATTTCATACTAATTAGTTATTTCCTAAGATTTTCTAATCAGTTATAATACTAAAAGTAGGTTCTAATTAAGAGAGAACAAGGTGTAGAGCTGGATGAACACAGCAGGCCAAGCAGCATCAGAGGAGCAGGAAAGCGGACGTTTCGGGTCTGGACCCTTCTTCAGAAATGGGGGAGGGGAAGGGGATTCTGAAATAAATAGAGAGAGGGGGGCAGGCAGATGGAAGACGGATAAAGGAGCAGATAGGTGGAGAGGAGACGGACAGGTCAAGGAGGCGGGGATGAGGCTGCTAGGTAGGTGGTGGGGTTGGGGGTTGAGGTGGGAGGAATGGATAGGTGGGAGAAAGGACAGACAGGTTAGAGAGGCGGGGACGAGCTGGGCTGGTTTTGGGATGCGTTCGGGGGCGTGGAGATTTTGAAGCTTGTGAAGTCCACATTGATACCATTGGGTTGCAGGGTTCCCAAGCGAAATATGAGGTAGGCGTCGGCTTTCCTGCTCCTCTGATGCTGCTTGGCCTGCTGTGTTCATCCAGCTCCACACCTTGTTATCTCAGATTCTCCAGCATCAGCAATTCCTACTATCTCTGATAGTAGGAACTGCAGATGCTGGAGAATCCGAGACAACAAGGTGCAGGGGTGGATGAACACAGCAGGCCAAGCAGCATCATAGGAGCAG